GCGTTCTTGGCAGCAGTCAACAAGGCTTTGCTTGGTTCATTGGCATATTAGAGGCTATGGCTGATATATTACATCTCATCAAAGAACATAGAATTCTAGCAAGGTAGCACACGTTTGCTGAAAAATTAAAAAATATATAGGCTATATATTTTAATTTAGTTAGTAAATCATACTACATGTTTTAAGTCAGCATTTATATATGTCTAGCCTATAATAACTGGTACATAATGCCATGAAAAAACATTAAATCCTGCCTCGCTAGGCTCCATCTATACGTGCGTAACTAGGCCTAAGGCCGCAGAGTCGCGACTACCACTACACACAGACGCCCACCCAACACAACACCCATACAGTACATACATACCCTGCAGTGCAGATAGAGCCTAGGCCTAAGCCCTACATGTATTTCGGGATCGATATTAAAATAAACTTCCTTTTTCGGAAGACTGCTCAGTACCAAAACCTATTAACTATAATTTTTTTAGTATTGTTATTAAAGAACTGAAGCTTACTTGAAAGAAAAAGTATTTTTTATGCACTGATTCTGTTCCAAATCTTCGCGGCGAAAACTTGGGGCCCCATCCATTCCCATGTGATTTCTGATTTCGTTAATTTGTTGAAATTTATTTACTCAACTGACAGCCATCTCATTGAATGAGGTCGGCGCTGGATGCAAAAGATCGTAACATGGAGGATAAACAAGGAGATTCTGCCACGCCTGCCTTGCCCTGGAGTTGTTATTTTGATAAACAACTTAAATAACAACTCCCTGGCCTTGTTTATGACATTTTATGGCTAAGCGAGCGCCATAGTATATTGGCTTAAGATAAGAATTTTTGTTTCATTGCTCTATGACATCGTGGAAATCACATTTTTCGTGAAATTTTCGGGATATTTTTAAAAATCGGGAGATATTAATAAAAATCGGGAGGGCGGGAGACGGCCTAAAAAATCGGGAGAAACCCGCGATTTTCGGTAGACTTGGGATCTCTGCAATTGTAACTTATGTATAATATACCAGAGACGACAAATGGCAGAGTCACTTCAGCCCCACCAAACCTCAAATCATCCATGGGGAAAACTTGGCGCAGACATTTGTACATTTAATGGCAGGGAACATGTAGTCATTGCAGATTACTTTTCGCAATTTATAGAGGTTTGCATGCTGCACAGCACAGCTAGTGTAGCAGTGACAAGTAAGATAAAATCTGTGTGTGCAAGACAGGGAACACCTATTGAATTGATGACAGACAACAGGCCTCAAACACTGCTGAATTTAGGCACTTGCAGCTGATTGGGACTTTGTCCATATGACTACGAGTCCTCACTATCCCCAATTCAATGGACTGGCTGAAGGAGCAGTAAAGATAGTAAAAAAAAATGATCAAAAAAGCAGTTCACATCAATCAAGATACCATGAAGGCCATGCAAATACTGTATACCGTAGCACCCCTCTTGAATGTGGAAAATCTCCAGCAGAGCTACTCTACAACCGGAGGATGAAAACGAACTTGCTAATGGCAGATAACTTGTTAAACTTCCAGCAACTCGACACGAAAGCTTTCATAGCAAGGAAGAGCGGGGTAAAGAAAAAGCAGCAGAAGTATCATGTGAAGCGAGTAGGTTCATATGATATACCAGAGTTGGCAGTTGGAACACCTGGGTACAATACCGACATTGTAACAAACAATTCAACAGTACCTAGTGAAAGACCAGAATCGGAAGATGTAGATGAAGAAGTCCATTTAAAAACCAATGTAAATAATGATTATGATAATGATGGCGATAGAGATAATACTCATGCAGAAAATATCAATGTCCCACGACGTAGTGAACGCGATTGGAAGCAAAATCGTAAACAATAATTACACTACATAGATTACTCTTGCAGTGAATGAATGACATGGCATTAGTTTTAATTAAGGACCATGTATTTTGTTGTTATTATCATTGTTTTTTTTTATCATCTTGCAGAACAATCCATTTTGTGTTTTGTGGGATTTGTTCAAAATTTAGTACTTATGATATCAGTTTAATTATAAAAACAAATAAGTGTTTTGTTGGAATAGTGTTCATCCTTATAGGAAGGAAGATGTGTTGATTGTAGTATGCAATCTGGAGAGTGAGCCCTCTGGGTTAGCAGAGGCAGATAAATAAAGGTGGCGAGTAAGACCATACTGAAAGACAATATTAGTCACATGTTGTATAATGTAAATGTCTATGTATAACAACTCATCACACACACGTTTTACACACACACGTTATACACACACACATTTTAAAATGCTCAAAATCACTTTTTGACTAAATTAGGGCACGTTTCATGCCATTTTGAGCATTTCAAAATTTTTGACGTTTTCCGATACGCGCGCGCACCTATAGAAGCTAGAAGTTTTTTTTTACATATTTTGGGTTCCTGACATTGTATTCATAAATTTACATTCTTTTCAGTCATCTTAGGGCCAATAGCAATGCCGTACGCGCGCATGAAACATAGGAATCCTTGCGCGCATTTGTGCAAACATACAGTGAAAATATGCTGAAATCAGGCCTATTTTTAATCAGTTATACCTGAGACAATTCTCTTTTATAAATTTGACTTTTTTTCTACATTTTGATGATGTCATCATAGTCAAATAAATGTTTTTTCTAACCCCCTCATCTTTCTTTCCTCAAATCTGTGATGCCCCCATATCATCCTAACCAGTAGTCATTTGTGAATCATATTCAGTAGGCATAAACTTCAGATGACGGTTGAATGTCATGTAACATAATTTTACGTGCGCTCGTCTTAAAGTGCACGTACACGTGCGTCAACATTTTTCAATGTCAAAATCGTGTTTAATTTTAATTAGTTATAGCTCCTTAGGATGAAAGATGACCTCCAATTTTTATTACATATTCTGAAAGATATGATTTTATAGATCATTATGGCTGATCGGACATTGTGACGTCATCATATTACCATTTTTAAGGGAAATAGAATAATCATCCCACTTTTCACTGTGTAAATGAATATTGCAGAAAATACATCATCTCAGTGTTGAAAAGTGTAAGCGGAGAGCAAGGGAAGTAGTGTATTGGCCGCGTATAAATCAAGATATAGCTAATGTGGTAAACAATTGTAACTTATGTATAATATACCAGAGACGACAAATGGCAGAGTCACTTCAGCCCCACCAAACCTCAAATCATCCATGGGGAAAACTTGGCGCAGACATTTGTACATTTAATGGCAGGGAACATGTAGTCATTGCAGATTACTTTTCGCAATTTATAGAGGTTTGCATGCTGCACAGCACAGCTAGTGTAGCAGTGATAAGTAAGATAAAGTCTGTGTTTGCAAGACAGGGAACACCTATTGAACTGATGACCGACAACGGGCCTCAATTTAACAGTGCTGAATTTAGGCACTTTGCAGCTGATTGGGACTTTGTTCATACGACTTCTAGTCCTCACTACCCCCAATCCAATGGACTGGCTGAAGGAGCAGTAAAGATAGTAAAAAAAATTGATCAAAAAAGCATTGATGACGTCATCATGGTCAAAATGAATGTTTTTCTAACGTCTCCTGACCTTTCTTTAAATAGAGAGAGAGCGGCAGACTTGATATTTTCCTGCACAGTTCGAAAATCCTGGCTACAGTGTTTTTCCGTATTTCACTTTTAAGCACTGCGAGATTTCTTTTACCTGACAAGCGGATCACCTAACTCGTTTCAAATCTAGTTTATGTTATTGTCCTCATATTATTTTATTCTATGTGATTCATTCTTTATAGGTCAAGACATAATCACTTGAGGATAACTCGAATATTGAAGAGTCTTGGTGAACTTGGATTTGAGGATTTAAAGAAACCTTTTATTGACTTTATTTTAAAAGAAATATTCGAAACTAAATTACTTTGGTATACTTTTGAAAGTTGCAAGAACTATTGGATTCAAGTGTTAAAGAATGATGAGGAACGGAACAAATGCCTGTCCTTCTTAGAAAAATACGCAAAAGGAAGTCAAGAAAAACGGAGTTACAAAAAGTCAAAACGAACTACTTATGTTTGAAGATTTATAATGAGTAACTAAAGCATTTTGATTTACACTAAAGCTGCAACACCTTGAACCAAGTATAAAACATTCTTTAATGCAAGTATGAAAAAATACAAAATGAAGGAAAAAAGGACAGTAACAATAGGCGAGCAGATTAGAGGCTATTTTGGGGTGGAGGTGGAAATGGAAGTACTACCGGCTAAGTTTGATATTTTCTGAAAATATAGGTCTTGAGAGGTTCAGAACTCAAAATTATTCAAAATCCGTTTCGGGGAACACCTCTAAATTACGCATTCAAAATGACCGCCAATTTTCCGCTTTAAATTATAGTTTTAGCTAAATTATAAAAGATAACATTACTTGAATAATAATTATCAACAATTGGTAAAACTTACTCAAAATATTCGTTATTCATCGAAAATGAATCTTGCGTTAAGAAAAACTATAATTTCAATCACCATAGCAACCGTTGCTATGCAAATTAAATTTCCTATTTTATACCTACAATATGCAGGCCGCGCCGATTTGGGTAAAAATCATCAAAACGTGTATAAAATAGGACGAAATCACAACGTTTACAGAACGTTATATCATAACCAAAATTTCTCCAATTATCACAAAAATTGATATCGTTTTTACAAAACGTTTTAAAAACGATTTTAAAACGTCGGTGAGTAACATTGCCTTTTGATTGCAGATTGTTTGCACTAAAACTTTATAAATACGTTATAATGACGTACGCAAAAATCTCACAAACAAATGTATAATTAGAACGAAATTACAATGTTCACAGAACGTTATATTAAAACAAAATTTTCACCAATTGTCAGAGAAATTGTTATCGTTTTTATGAAACGTTTTAAAAACAAGTTTAAAACGTTGCAATATATTGCGTTTTAATTGCAGTTTCCTTGAGTAATAAAATATGGATAATTAAAATGCCTATAAACAGTATTTATTTTTCAATATACTTTATATATCAGAAAATCGTTGTCACACACTAAGACCACAATAAAATTAATATCATTGTAAAAGTCTAATCACACAGATTATTCATTGAAATTGTATTCATGAAAAATAAAAAAAATAAAAAAAATCTTTAAAACCGTCTGTATATATTGTTTACATTTTGACAAGCTGTAAACAGGGAAGATGAAGAAATCTATTTGAGTGAAAAAACAAATCTGTCTCATTATATTTTTTGATTTGCAAAAAAAGCATAACTGTATAAGATATTATTGGTCTAATTAATAAAATTAAATGCTGAAAATGTCAATCTGAGCTTTAAAAATACAATGTGAAAATGTATGTTATTGAATAGATCTAACTGGACCCTTTGTCACTGGCCCAAGCATAACTGAGTAGTCTACCCTGACTAGCCTAGCAATGATGTAGAAACAAAAAGCAACAAAAATTATTTCAAACTTACCGCTAATATCACTCAAAAGGTCACTCTCTCTCAATCGGTCACTACCAAAGCTTCTAATTTGTCTCTAGTGGCCATGGCTGACAACTGTGCCATAGGCAGGGGTGGCGCCAAGATTTGCCCGACGGGGGAGGGGAGAGGGGGTGAGGTCCCCGACGAGGGGTTATATTTCCCAGACGAAAGCAATGTGGCCTGGTCAAGCTTCGATTAAAAGGTTTTGAATATGGTCCAGGGGAGAAGCCCCCGAAAATGTTAACACTTCAGGCAGCAGATCTGAAAGGTGGTGTTCGGCTAACCCATAATAATTTCCTACATGGCCAAATTGGAGAAGAATTTGCGCCAAAGATTGTAGATGATACCAAATTCAACCCTAGAATGAGGTGTCGCAGGGTTCAAGAGTTAGTAAAGCACTTTTGGCATAGATGGTGGCGCGATTGGATTCCAAGTCTTTCACCCAAATGAAATGGAGAAGAGTTTACTGAGATATTAAATTGGAGATGTTGTATTAGTTATGGATTCTAACACTCCACGTTGTCAATGGCTATTGGGTCGAATTGTAGAGGTCTACCCGTGGAAAGACGGGCATATCAGAGTAGTAAAAGTCTAAGCGGGAAAGTCAATGTCTCTAAGACCTATTACAAAAATTTGTTTACTTGAAGTTTCTGAGTAGAGAAGTATGTACAGTAGTTGTACATTAATATTAAAACAAGGAATTTGGTGATAATTTGGATATTTTAATACTTTGTTTTTTTGTACTTCAATTACAATAACAATTGATAACAGTATGTGATATCAACGTTAACATTCATTGAACATTTTTGAAAAAGGGAATGATTTAGATTAGTGTATAAAAAACAAATACATATGCATAATTGTTGCATTATTAATTGTTTTATTGTGAGTGATGAGTTAAATTGTAACAATATTGATAAAAAGAACATAATGACTAAAAAGAAAAGTATACTTTATGTTATGTTGTATTGGTGTAATAAAAAAAATAAAAACAAAAGTAAAAGAAATTGTTATGATTTTTAGCAAGTAATATTTTTTTGGCATTGAGTATGTTTTTTATTTACGTTGTTATAACTTAAAATATAACGTTCATATATTACATTTATGTAACGTTAATAATAACGTTACAACATAAAGTTATAAAAACGTAAAATAGTTAGTTGCCACGGATAACGTTCTATGAATGTACTTTTGTTGAACCATAATTAAGTATGTATAACCTAAACTATAACGTTCAAATATTAGGCCTACATTTTGTAACGTTATTAAAAAAACGTTATTATAACAAAATTGTTACAAAACGTTTTATGATCTAAATATAATCTTAATTATATGTAAAACATACTAAAAGTTTACCAAAACAGGACCCGCATAAAGGTGTTTTTTATAACCTAAAGTTCAGCACTATTTGAAAGACTTTTACACGATACGTACTGTGGTTTTCAAAAATTTTTTCATTATGATTGGTCAACGGTTAGGTCAACGTAGGTCATATCTGTTTGTTGCCGGAAGAGTGAGACATGCGTGCGAGATTTGGTAGGCAAATCAGAGGAATATTACTCCCGGTTTGCAGTAATTAGAGAGCTATAAATATTGGAAATTAACTGGAATCATGCAAGAGCAGTTCCATGTATGACCCAGACAAATGTTATTGTAAAGTCTAGGCCTGAGACATTGAGACATCTCATTTTGGCCCTAGCCATCCCTCTTGCTTCCCGGTTAGTCGCGCGCGTGTCACTCTTCCCGCATTGCGACGTTTCTCGGCTATCGCACGCATGAACGTATAGAGAAATGCGAAATGTAGTGTAGGCCTAGGACTATTTTAAGTGTACTCTCATCAGTGAGTATTTAAGTGTAGAATGGAACTAGAAATGCATAGGCCTACTGATGTAGAACCACTACTTTATTTATCGTCGAAGTGGTGTACATAGTTACTATATATAGGACAAATACAAATAGGCCCCTATATATTATAAATAAATTCTTAATGGTAGTAAAATATTTTGTGCTGAATGTGAAAACACTTTTAGTTAAATTATCATTGTAGTTTACAAATAACATGCATAGGCCTATTCTGCTTCTAGGTACTTGAAATGAAATGATCTTCACACCTAAAAAAAGTCACTTAGTCTTAATATTAATTTCTTAATGCTAATTGTTATATTATTATTATTTTTTAAATTTTAATTATAGACCTCAAATTACATAGACCTAGACTTGAACAATTTATTTTATTTCAACAATCTTTAATAAGGCTGATCCGTCTAGCCGAAGCTGCTCATCATTAGGGTCCCTCAAAACACACAGTAAAACAAGACAAAAGTGAGTATCAAATTAATTAATTAATTTTTCCTACGGTCGGCAACTTTTTACTCCTTAAGCAACTCTCACATTATCGCGACTTAGCACTGCGACCGTACCAACCTGCGGTCGTATCCGACTAGAAGTAGGACCTGCGCTCTTGTCATTTATTGGTGTAAAGTAATAATGGCCACTTTAGCCAAATGATTACGACACGTGTGAGAACGACTACGATTAGACTGACGACCAGTACGACCACAATAAATTTTCAACATGTTGAAAACTCTGCGACCATGCACGACTACTGCCTTGTCACGTTCAAGTTGCTCTTAGCTGCTATCACACTATCACGACCTGGCCAGGACGGTGTCGGTCGTTTACCGATCACAGTGTAGGTCTTGATAGTGTGAGAGTAGCTTTAGGACCAGCATTTTTTGCCATAACTCCCCACGACCTGAGACCTCCAGAAATGCCGTCCAGGATACACAATATACGACCAATGTTACGCAGTATAATCCTGCTTTGAGGTACCCCTATTCAAGGGACACTTTTTCGTGAAATGAGGAGAATTACCGGTATATCTTATAAATCTATTCCAACCTCTATTAATTGGACGGGAACACTCTTTGGGTGTGCCAAATGGTCAAATCAATACATATTCAACCCATAATCAAGGGGACACATTTTTTTTTCATTGTACAGTATCGCAAAAA